AAACCAAACGGCTGCAGTACAACGAGATTCATCAATCCTCATCTGGTGAGATCGACCAACGAACCTCTTCATCATGCACTTTCATACGAAATGAAGGTCCCCTAACAATGTTATCTGAGGAGTGTTCGAAATCAAGTTTATCTTCGTATCTACACAGAAAAAATAATTGAGCGATTCGATGGCAATTATATAATAAAAGTGTATAATAAATTTAAACGTTAACTAGTTTGGGAATGAGGACGTTCTTTGTGCAACCACCTATCTGACTTAAGAGAAACGTTATAAAACGTGATTTGCACCTTGTATTCCTTCAAAATTAGCCTCTAGTCGCTAATCAAAGCCGCATGTTTTATGTGCGAACCAAATCAAAGAAAGAGCATGATAATTTTTTAATGAGTCTCTTGTATATAATCCATTTAGTTATAGTGCAAAATGACTCACCACCGCCGTTTTTGTAACAGAGATATGGGAAACGCCATACGTTACCCAAGCCAACAGCATATCCAATACAGGTCAAAAGGAATTCAACCTTTCCACTCCAGGTCGCCCGGTCAATGGTTGAAGGAGGAGGTCCATAAGTCACGTGAATTTCGTCATCTGCTTCACCTTCAACTTGCAAATTGCAGGGAAGCTGCAAATCGGTATAAATAAAGAGGAAGACAAATGAAAATGAATAATTTAAATTTGGATTTAACAAGAGAAAATGTAATAATGGGATATACGAAATGTAAAAATGCTCACAATTCCTTAAGCTGTCTTTGTTTCCGTGTAAAAGTATTTAATGTAGAGGTTTACAGATCGATCTCATCACATGGCAATAAATGACGGTCCAATGCTTGATATTAAAGAAAGATTGATGCTGACGCAGTCATCTGTGCACCCTTATTCGGTTCCAGCGAAGGCATTACGAGCATTTATCTGTCATGTCACTCGGATAGGCCCTATCAGAGCTTGCCCTCATCTTCATCCATATGAGTAGCTTTAGGAGCCAAGGAATTCCGACACAAAATAAGGCAATTTATATTGCGGACACCGATCTTATCACCTTTAAATTCAGCGTTAAAAATATAGGCGTCCAAAACACTGGAGTATGTCCTCTTGCAAAAAACCAAAGCAGTCAGGTAAACAAAAGAAGTGGGCGCGACAACCAAACTCGCATAATAAGGCTCTATATCAAATTATTAAATAAATAGATCAGTATGACTTTCCAGTCAACTGAACAATCCTTAGCCTCAGAAGAAGGTAATCATGTCATCACAAGGTGAGGAAAATAATAAAGTACCCAGCCTTATGGATCAAACTGACATTTCTGGTTAAACCTAAGAGAATTGATATATTAGATTTACCAGGTAAAGAGGAATGAAAATCAGCTCATTATGGCTTACGAAAAGCTTCAGAGGGATGTGGCTAAGCTTACGCAACATTTTTGCTGACTATACAAGATCCGTAAAAGTGCCAAATTCGTAAGGAAAGTTTCATCAAAGCGTAGATATGAAGAACAAAATGATGTGACATTATGTTTAGTGGCAGAATCCTTTATCTGCAAAGTGTTGGCTTAACCTCGTTTGCGCAATTTGATCGGAGAATCGAAGAGACCTGGTGTAAAGTACCATCCAGTGTCCTCGACCCTAGTATTCGTGATTTCCAGCATCAGACCGCTAACTTGGAACATTACAAAACGATCAAATAGTCCCACAAGCTCACAAAAGAGGTGCCACATTGGTGATGGACAGGAAGGAATATACAAAGAAATGGAAAATATTCTCGGGGACACTACAACTTATCGACTACTAACAAAAGATTCAGCAGTAAAAATCAAAGGGGCACTGCAAAAAATGGTGAAGAAAATAAATATGAACAGGGAAATCGACAAATGGACAATGAATATACTCATACGAAAGGATGCAAGAATCCAAGTAGCGTACAGTTTGCCGAAGGTTTACAAAGAAGGAGAATCATTTAGACTGATAGTTAACAAAAACCACGGAACAACAAATAAAAGTGCAAAATTTATCTGCCTAAAATTAAAGAAAGTGAATGACAAATTATCGAGAACAAGGAGAGCCAATAAGAATGTTGTCAAAGAATCAAAGGTAACGAACTTCTAGTGAGCTTAAATGTATAGTCCATGTACACTAACATCACACCACTGGAGATCTTGGAAAAAGAAGATGACATCCTGAGATGGAGCGAATCCGTAAAGTTTCTGACCCCATTAATCAACCTAACAATAAGAAAGACCTATTTCACATTCAACGCCCGCATCTATGAGCGGGCTGGACCTAGGGAAGGAGGACTGCGTAACAATATGGCAGACTCTGATCAATATTTCCAGCACAAGGGTGAAGGGGGGTGAGAATGCCAGCGTGGAGTGTGGAGGGTTCTCATGAAAACCGCATAAAACGGCACACCAGAATACATTTAAATATTTCAATTATTGTTTCGAGACTACCAGTAAATCAGTAACATTAGATCTAGCAAGTAAAGAGAAATAAATTCAGGTCAAAATGATTGTGGAATACCTGCGAAAGGATGTAGCCAATCTTACCGAACGTTTGTTATTGACTAAACAAAATCCAGATTTATGCGAAATACTTAACCAAAGTTTCATCAAATCGTTTATATAAAGACAAAGATGGTGTGGCCTGCTGTTTAGTCACAATCGCCTCTAGCTTTATAGCGTTGTTTAATAAAATATATGAAGACCAAGATGTTGTGGCCGCAATTATGGTCGCAGTCTCCTTCCGATTTATAGAAGTT